TGGGCTGAATTGCACAAAACGCATGATCGCACCGGCTAGCCTGGTGCGCGTTGCCATTTATTTAATCATGCTCCCAAAAATGCTGGTGAAGCAAATCACCAAGCAACCATTTTTGCAGTTGTTTAATGTAAAACTGCATCATTTTCAAGAGAACAAAGAACATCTAAAAAATCAGTTATTTTTTGTCGAAGTTATTTTGAATGATCACACCTTCGTTCTTTTCCTCTCGCCATTGTCTGGTATCGTAGTACACCAATCAGCCACCGTTTTACCATGGCGCGTCTCCGCGCCATCAACACAGCTAAAAATCTCCCCGTTGTTACTACGACAAACACTCTTGGTAATTATGAGTGGTGATTCCCAATCAGATTCTTTGAGATACTGACCTGGAATATTTGGAGAAGCTGTTAATTCCACAGCAGACCACAGTGAGTGTAGCCTTATTGACTAGGGAAGACGAAAATTACTGCATATCAGTAGTATTTGCTTATTAGCAGGTTTCAAGAGAAGGGTTCGCATCGTCCAACGAATGAGTGGCATGTTGGTAACACATCGAGTCCTAAAGTATCATCTTCAGCGGCCAAGAATAAAAAACGAGGAGCGCTAACTACTACTGTCGGTGGTGATGGTAATTTGCTCAAATTTTCAGTGTTAAAAGTCTTTATCTCTGCTTCTCATGAAAAATTTGAATGGAATTAACTGTATGGCACCTCTGCAATCATCATTTAGTTCAGTGATTCTCAGTCTGTTTGTGCCTTCGCCCCCCCTCCCCCTCCCACCTCCATGGGCCACGAAGGCACAAACAAGGGAAAAAGTGAGAAATCAAATTTCAATGTAAAAATTAACAGCAAATTCGCAGTTAGCTCGTTAAAACACCGCGAAATCACCGTTTGAGCGAGAAGATCGTTAATGATATCATTTTAAATTCAGACAGAATCCGTGCAATAAAGATATCATATTAGATATCTGTGTATTAACAAATTGACTCATTTCCCCGTTTCGCCAAATTTGAAGACCCCTCATAAGAAAAAATAAATAAATATTTGATGAAGTCCAGTGCTTTAGATCTTCAGTTAAGCCTCGATGGGCAGCGGCGGCAAAAGTCACCTAAAGAAGGGTCCTGGTGAAGGAAGGTTGAGAACCACTAATTTAGTTCATAAGTTGAACTTTCGATA